CAGGTTCTGGAACTATATTCAAGTAGACAGCCACAGGTCGCTTGCCGTGCTTTATGATTTTGATCTTTGTTTCACCCTTTTGGTCGGCTGGGGGTCTTTGAATCATTTCCTCAGTGATGCCATGAACCTGTCAAAATTGTTCAATTTGATCACATCATCGTTCTGGAGGGTCACCATCCACTCTGCTACTTCACCTTCCAAAGCATAATCACAATCCTTTTGCCACTTAATTTGGCAGGTTGATTCCATACTCCTGCACAGGGTTAGTTCCACACCTGGGTCAGGAAGAAGGCCAGTTGCTTCAGATTGCCATTGAATTTCACTATTAGGGCCAGTGGCCAATGCTCCCTTCTCTGTGGAGGGGCGGCTCAGGCTGGTGGTGATAGCTGGGTTAGTTGAGCTACACCCAGCTGTTGTGCTCAACTCCATTTGTAGCAAAAGCCAAGTGGGTACAGCGTAAGCAAAGCCAGATCTCAATCTTCCATGTAAACCCCCCTCAGTCCCTTTGTAACTGTCCAATGGTATTCAAGCTAGGTGTTTTGGTAATAGTCCTAAAGTTTGGCACCTCTTTGGTGGGCATTTGCATTCTGTTTTCCTTGTGCTTGTGTCCTTGGATCTGCCAGACTCTGTTCAAGTCTGGCACCTCTGGTCCCTGTCTTCCCCCCTCCTATATCCCTTAACTCCTTCCTCCACCTTTACCCTTTTATGGCAGAATGCCATAAAAGCGAAACAATCCAATGGCAAATCGGACAGCTCTTTACTTTCAGGTTTCAGTGTATAACCAACCAAAGTGGTAGAGCCTAGGGCCATTAAAATCCTGATCTTCAGTGCTTCAGTTGCTGGCAAGACATCTATAATTCAGAGGGAAATTGCTGACTAGGAATGTATTGCAAGAACCTGTTCTACCCACAAGACTGTTCCAAGGACAGTGGGTTAGAACTAGAAGATGGGATGATTGAATGGCCATAATTTTAATAATCTTTTTTTAATAAATAAATAATAATCTTCTTATTAACCAGATGCTCCATTGATCATTTGTCAGTTTTGAGTCCTTACTGCTGCCCTGAGGTGGCTTGAACACTATAAGCATGCTGTTATCATATAATACATCCTCATGTGCCACAATACATTTTCCTAAGTAGATGGGATGATTTCAGATGTGGTGATTCTTGTTTTTTTTTTGGGGGGGGGGGGGGAAGATTTCAATGTCTGTTCAAGATTTTATATCTTTCACAAAGATTATAAATTTGTGCCAATTGGTAGCTGGTCCCATACCCTGCCATTTAACTTGCAGTCAATTTCTGGTATAGATGGAGGCTGGTGGAATATTTTATGCATCCATCCAGCTGCTTGCTATCTTCTATTTTCTTCATCATTGAAATTATTTGTAATTGTGTCCCTTTCTTCAGAAGCATTTTGAACTAAGATTTTTGGCAGGAACCCTATTCTCTATGTCAAAACATTCCTTGTACAAATGTTATTCTGCTCCCTTTCTTCAATTATGTGGTTGGAACAGAGATCTTTTGGAACTGGGAAAAGGAACAAAACCCTGGAGAGTGGGATATATAATTCAGGAATCATTGCTGGGGGTGGGCTAAGAATCTCTGAAGACTGTGGTCAGTAATGGACCAAAAACTCAGACTAGAAACGAACAAATGTTTTTCTATATGTAATAAAATAATCATCCACACCTCAGATATTTAACTCCATATTGAAGCACAAAGGCAGGATTTTAGAAAATAATTGAACATAAAGAACAGAATATCTGGATGGAGGATCAGTGTTTCTCTTTGTTATATCAAATATAAAGAATTTGGCCAGTTATTGCTGAGGTTGTGACAATATGGAAAGTGGTTTTCCTATAGAGGACAAGTTGTTATTGTGTTTATTGGGTTTTTCCATAACTATTATGAGCATCAACAAGAGGAGCCATGCCAAAAATTACACCAAAGTAGGGAGTTACTGTTTGTTCAATCTCTTTAAATTAGAGAAAATTTGAAAAAAAACAAAAACAACCCATCATACACCTAGGGCATTAAAAATCCAAAGTGGTTGAGAGTAACATTTTCAACAAGGAAAAGGGTAATTATTCAGATAAATATAATAAACTCTAAACCGGTAGAATCCCACCCCTGGGTGGGGGGAATGAAGAAATGTATTTAAAATCAAAACAGCACAAATGAACTGAAATATATTTTTACTTTCAAAGAAATAGCATTTGGTAACTCTAATTTTAAATCCATAAAATATGTTTGGAGATTGGCAAGTAAAATCTTCATGGAAAAACATATCTAAAACTAGTTTGCTAAGTTGAATGAAGTCCAGATCTAATACATGCATAATAAATGTGTATTTTCAGAAATACAAAAAATGATGTAAGTGACTTGTATAATAGTCTTCACTCTGTTCTATAAATAAAAAATTCCTTCTTCAATTGTGTCTTTTTTTCACTGGAAGAAGTATCTATACCAGCAGCTTAAATTTTAAGGCAACACTGTATAACTTACATTGTGATCATTGCTTTAATAAGAGAATGAATAATAATCATGACACATTGATGATGCAGCACTTTTAAGCCTAAGGTTGATTACAGCATTTTTTATAAACTCTATAAACTCTAAGAAGTCTGTTGTAAAATATATAGAGATGAAGATGTGAACAAATGATATAATTTAACAGAAACATTCAGAAATTCTGTCAATGTAAGTATATCCTACATTTAAATAAAAACTAAACTATCAGAGTTCCACCTTAATTTTAGCCAAACTATTACATGTAATTTTGTAAAGCAAGAGTAAACTAACACTTCAGTCACAAGGCTATTCTAGTTGGTGGAGGGAGGGAGGGAGGGAGGGAGGGAAGGAAGGAAGGAAGGAAGGAAAGAAGGAAATAAATCTATAGTTTCTTTCCAATGAACCGCTGTAGATGGCTGGCTTCCTATACTCATTTACAAAAGGAAATACTTATATGGAAGCAGCAGTTTCCAGTTAGTCCTAGTTCCACAAGTTGCATTTTTAATAAACAAAGTCCATACTCGGACTCCCATCTGATTGTCCCAAACTGATTTAGAACATCTCACTGTAATCTCAAACAATTTTTATAAAATCAGGTATTAATCATTTAATCCTTTGACATTGATACAGTTCATAAATATTAATAATATACAGTTATATAGACAACATCTGGGATGCACAGTCTTACACGAGTTCAGAAACCCATCCTCTTTTGCAAAGAATGGGTGCTTGATATCCCATGGGATCAGGACACCCAGAAGGTTCCAGTCTCTATGAGAAAAGTGGCTATATGCTAATGAAGGGCTTGGAGCAATGCGAGTTCGCTACCTCACTTTGTGCAAACACTTTTCCAGATAGAGCCTTGAAGCCTTTGGAGGACACTAATTGAGGCTGCCTGCTGCTCCAGAAGTGGCAGGAAGGCTTGGTGATCAGAGAAACTGAGCAGGACACCCTCATTTTGCTCTCTCTCTGTTCTCGCTGCTTGTTGCTCATAGGCAAAGAAACAGAGATGCTGGAGAGAAGACAGATCTTCACAAGGTAAATGACCTGGCGTGGCACACTGGGGAAAGAAGCAATTGTGGGGAGCATGAGGTTTTTCAGTGGGTCGGGGCAGGCCTTGGGTGGTCTGAAGTAGGTGGCTTGTTCCATCACTAACTCCACTTCCCCATGGCCTTCCTCACCCCAAGATACCTCATATGCACTTAATGAGCCTTGCATTGGATTAGCAAATGTGTGGGCCAAAGGAGTGATTGTGTTCAAAGTACAAGATTCACTCCTACGAATCCTCAGGTTACGAATGGAATGGGCAGGCTCCATTACATTTGTAACTCGAGGCGTATCTGTACTTTCAGAAATCTGCAAGTCTTTCATTTTAAAAGAGAAGTCAACATTTTTAGGTGTCCATCCAATCTATTCAATTCTAACAAAACGTCTGGTAAATAATTAAGTAAACAAGAGCCAATTTTCAGAAGAATCCTGATTTTTAGTTACTCAAGTTTACAAGGTTATTGTCATGACCTGGGGTGTGGCACAAAGGCAACACAGTCAAATAAACAAGAAGAGTCCCTTTATTATCTCAAACTTTGCCCCCAATGTCCAGGTTACCATTGTCTGGAGAAAAACTCTCCCAGGAACAGTCTTTAAGTGGAGGAAATTCAGTCCAAAAACAAAGTACATACAAACTGTAAATAAAAATCCAAACAATTCACACTGCAGTAATTAACCTGGCAGGGCAGGAAAAGGAATTGCAGATTGAAAGAACAGCAAAACACACACAGTTGGGAAGACGCCAGGAACACAGATAAGCCTCAAGGAAACCAGATAATTCACGATTTGTTCCCAACAAGTTGCAGTGCACAGCTTCCCTTTTTAAACACTGTGTTCCCAGCTGCAGCTAATGAAGGCAATCAGGACCCTTTCCTCCCCAGTAAGCCACATAACTCACATTGCTCCCTTCTCTGTTCCTCCCTGTGTGCCCTAGGATGAAGAGGGGGTGGGCCTGGGTCCTCCTCTGAACCCCCTCTCCCTTGCTCTACCTCTCCCCTGCTCTGCCTAGCTGGACTTTGCCCTTCCCCAGTTTCTTCCACAGCCAATGGAGCCACACTCCCAATCCCAGTCAGCTGCTCGGCCTCTCCCTCCGAATCAGATTCTGACAGGGGCATGACAGTTATATTTGGAATATATTTCCTATCACCAGGAGTCCCCAACCTCCTGGGCTGTGGCACACTACTGGGCCATGGCATGTTGGGAACCATGCAGCAGGCAAACGTACGTCACTTGTAATGCAAATGCAAATCCCCTCTCTCTGCACACCAGTGTGCCAAGGTTAGGGACCACTGCTATACACCACTTTCCAAGGCTCTCCTATGAACATTCTAATGAATGAATATACTACATGATATAATTATATGCTGAGCATATTAAAGACACTTCCAAAACCAGTGCATTAAAACTGCATAAGCAAAAACAAGGAGCTGAAATATGTACCTTGTTAATATGCAACTGCTGCTGTTGGAATTGTTGTTTGTGTTTTTCCAAGAACTGATGATGTTGTTGTTGGATCACCAATTGCTGGAGGGCCTGTGCATTCTGGGGAAGGGGAGCAGACTGAGTGCGTCCCAGAGGACGGTGCTGCCGCAGTTTGTGTATTGAGGGAGATAGTCTATCAGCACCCACAAGAGATTGTGCATGGAGAGGGAGTGCCCCTAGTCCTGAAAGATGCCAGTTAGAAGGTAACATGTAGAAAACCAGTGGAGAAGAAAAAAGAACAGAAGAGGAAGGAGAATTTTGTAAGTAATTATTTCCATTACAGCAACATGCTTTTTTCATTTACTTGCTAACATTTGTATTCCAACCAGTTCCAGACTACAAATAGTTAAAACTTATAAAATAAACATGCAAATATAACTATCACAATTAAAAACATGATTAAAATATACAAGTATTAAAAACAAGCCAATGCCTTAATCACTTTGGCTCTTTAAAAATCAGACCTTGTGGTTGTAAAAATGGAGGATTAAGCTAGTCTCGTTGTTCTTTTTCTAATTTGTCAGTTTTTAAACACAATTAACCTAAGATAAAGAATTCTATATATGTCTATATTCCAATATGAGACCTACCCTAAAGAAAAACTCATGTGAAGAGCTACTGAAATTCATCATAAACATTATTAATATAATAATTTTTAAGTAAATTTGACTGAGCAAATTTATTCTTCATTGCTGCCAAGAATAGTTGCTGAATTCCTTAGATATGTAAATCATTTTATAAAATGATTCGAGGAATGGAGTAATTAGAAAGAGTAGCCATCATAAGCACTAGAGCACAGGTAGGCAGGAAGCTCAGACAATGCTAAACTCTAACAAAACCACCAATGCTGTTTCGTACTTTGGATCAAGTCAACTAGTTGTTGGAAGAAGCATCTTTACCTGAGACCAATGGATTTTGTGCAGTTGACTGTTCCAGCAAAACCATGTGTTGAAGAAGAGGGCTGTGTGTTGATCCCCCTTCTCTATCCACTGCTGTACTGTTCAAATAAGGAGTGATATGGGCGCCAGGAAATATGGAGATTCGTTGTTGTAATGATGGAATAGTAAGTCTTTCAGAATCTTGCTGTCCTGATCCACTCTGCAAGCATATAGCATTACTGAATTTAAAAAGTGATCTATGAATGAAGTTAAGATAATAACTCCATTTAAATTATACAATACCACTTACAGTACATGGGGTTGCTGCAGGTAGTCCTAAGGTTATATTAGGCAATGAGGGAGATGTATACAATGGAAGCTGTGTTATTGAACCTTCATGATTAACCAGTCTATGAGCCAAGGTAGTCTGAAAGAGAGCCAAAAATCCTGCCTCAGAATTTATATTATATATAAATATAATATATAAATTATATAAAAAACAAATACCTCATGTGTAATCATTATTTGGAGAAGCTTAAGTATACTTTTTGGGAGAGGAGAGTCAAAGGAATTTAGAGAAGGTCTATCAACGATATCAATTAATACTGTATGCAGTATTCAGAGTTAAGGTTTGTTGTATTAATCATCAAGTACTGAAGCAAACGTGAAATCTGCTCAATATAAATTGTAACTAACAACAGGAAAATGGGAATGGAACATTTTCTTCCACTATTATAAGGTCTTGGTGACAACAAAGTTGTGTTTTTTAAGAAAGCCTGGGACTTTTAACTTAATTTTTTGAACTTTTGTTTTTGCTTTTTATCTCTAAATGTTAATTGGCTTGCCGATTTATTTCAACCCAGTACCAGACTTTATCTTTCTGCTTTCTCTCTGACTTGGTTGCTCTTACCAATTTCAGTATTTCCGTAGAGAAACAGAACACACATTTCTGAATGGTGAAAATATATTTCGACTATATTTTACCGAATATTCACTGTAGGGAACCTGTATTTTATTAACTTGGATCAAAACAGTCAGCAATAATCCCGTTTTTTTTCACCCCCCTGCTCTGCTTATCTGCTTCACTGAGTACAACATATTGGATTACAGAGAGAAGACGGAGACTGACACTGGGAGTAGGGGTTGGGAAGAGACTGCTTAGCAACAGGCAATCTCTAGTCAAATTTAGTTCTCAAAGGTTTGATGGATTCATAAAGTCCATGGAAAACATTCTGAAGAAACCAACTCTAAATATTTTAAATTCACAAAGAAATGTGTTTACAAAGTAGTAGATCAGGGGTGGGATCCTACTGGCAAAACAACTGGTTCGGTGAGCGCTCTGCGCACAGTACTTGTAAATCAATTTCTCCTGCAAGCAATAACCTTCTCCTGCTGACTCAACTGTGCCACGCAAAGCAAAGGGAATAAAGGGAAGCCTAGAGCCCAGGTGGGCAGGTGGGCCCAACTGAAGCGAAGATCTTTGGAGCAAACCAGTTTGGTGTCAACTGCTCTTCGAAGCTACCAGTTCTATAGAACCGGGCCAAACCGGTAGAATCCCACCCCTGTAGTAGATGAGTTGGAAAACAATATGTACCCAGAAACAACACAGTTTGTGGAAAATCAAAGTCAAGAGGAATGTGACTTTCCAGCAGTAAAGTGGCTGGGAAGAAACATGAATCTAGAAACAATAGAGCTGACTTCATACGTCTTTCTGAAGTTCAATCCTGTGTTTTCATATAAAAGTAGAAAACTCTCTGGCTGTTGTTACTGAGAGATGGTCCGATTTCTTGTGAGCCAATGGGTTCTAATTCTGTTGCTGGATAATGAGATGCCTGTTTGTTCATTTAAAATGGTACCTTTGGGATTGTGGTTGATGTAGTTCGTTTGTTCTCAGTGATTGATAGACTGGGTCAATGTCAATGTGTCTGTTTACTGACTTATTAGTGGAAAACCAACAGTGTTAATCTTTTTAAGATATTATTTATTTTTAATGTCTTGTTTGTTTTTTCTTTTTTTTCTTTTTTAAATATTTTGGTGTTTTGTATTTTAACTTTCCTTGAATAAACTAAATCTTATCACAAAAAGACTGCAGCTTCCCTGCAGAAGTGAGGGGCGTAAAAAAATCTCGATTATCAAGGCTTGAGATAATTCTGACAGGGGGGATAACGATAGATTCCCCCACCTGATCATGTTGCCATAACTTCAACAAGAAAATCATATCTGGCAATAACCATTGTCCTAAGTTAGTCTAAAAATGATCTGGAATAGCCTAATGACCACTATGGTGGCCATGAACTTCTGGAATGCTTCCAAGGCCTCTGACAATCCTGAGATGGCCTCCAGCAACTTAAGAAGGGCACTCAGAACCTAACCCACAAACTTTCAGGTCTTCCAGGGCCTCTCCCAAGGGCCACCAAGCTCTGGCCACAGTCTCATGTTGCCAGCTCTGGTTTTCAATCCTGGGTTGTGCACCCACAGCCGCCACTGCTACTGCCATGGAGGGCCCAGCTCTGGTCACCAACCATTAGCTTTAACTCCCTACATTAAATGGTCTGGATATTCAGGCCCGTTGCTAGCATTGCAGTCTGGCCTCAGCCCTCACAGCTTTGGCTAATCTCAACTGCTTGCCTTTCGACACTCTTGCCATCCTCAGTTTCTAACACGGGGCTCCATGTACCAGTTGCAAACTACTCCAGCAGCCTCAGCCTTCTCTGGCAATGGATCCAGCTCTCTTCCAGTTCCTTAGTTATTGGATCCTCACCGCTTCCACTATCAAGGCAAATGTCGTTGCCACACTTCCCCCAAAAGCCAAATCTGATAGGGATTCAGGCAGGGGACTGGGAAGACTTCAATGAACAGAGTAAAGGAAAAGAGGTCCCCTGGATGATTCCAACCTGCTCAGGGGGAGGCCACCAGAAGACAGTATCAGGTGTCCACTCCCATTCATCTTCTTGTTTGCTATTTAAAACATACCCATCTATAATTGGACAAATAGAAGATAAACTATAATGCAACAGTTCTGTATTAAATATATTATGCACATCAGTGAGAGCACAAGTGATTTTATCTGGAGAACTGTGTAAGCTATTCATATCAAATAATAAAGCACAGTAGTCCATTTTTCCTTCTTGTGACTATATAAAAATCTTTGTGCAAAAATGATGATGGCAGAGAAGAATTATTATTCATTGAATAGATCTTCAAATGTTTGTACCTATTGCTTGGTTAAATTAGTTTTGCAGTTTTCTTTCATTATTCTTACAGATACATGAAATTTTGCAAAGGATTTGGATAAGGAACAAAAAAAAAAAAGTACAAATAGTCCCTGACTTATGATCACAACTGAGCCTAAAATTAATGTTTCTAAGTGAGAGATTTGTGACATTTCTTGCTCCAGTTGTTAAGTCAATCACTGCAGTTGTTAAGTGAGCAACACCGTTACGTGAATCTGGCTTCCCTATAGACTTTACATGTCTGAAGGTTGTAGAAGGTGATCACTTGACCCCAGGTCACTTCAACTACCATAAATATAAGCCACTTGCCAAACGTTTGAATTTTGATTGGGTGACCATGGGGATTCTGCCACGATCATAAGTGTGAAAAATGGTGGTAAGTCACTTTTTTCAGTATTGTGGTAACTCTGAATGTTCACTAAATGAACTGAGGACTACCTTTACTTATCTTCAACTATTAAGTAATTATCTTTAACAACAAGTGGGTCCAATCACACTTGGCCAATAAAAAATTCAATTCAATTCAATTCAATTCAATTCTATCCTATCCCTATTCACTGTGATTTTGAAGGATTCACAAAGTGTTGCAAGGGCTGTCCCAGTTCTGTGTGTGTGTATACACAGAACAAATTTCTCCTACATATATAAACTTGGACAAATAGTCAGGAACACTCTTTGAAGCATCTACAGGAGACCGCCATAACATGCAACTGTTTTAATCCTGAGAAGAGAGCTATTTTGGTTATGTTAATAAATTTGGGGAAGCATCACTTTCAAATGCTTTGCACAGTCTTATTACCTATCACACACTTCTCATTTATTGTAAAATACACAGCCTGAAAAAGGGATTCCTTTGTCTCAAATATATTTCATATATTAGTTTTCTTGTTTGGTTTGTTGAAGTATAAAACTGGACGCGAAAGAAGATTCATGCAATTATTTCCCCTATGAAACAATATAAAACCAAAACTGGATTCTGAAGAAGCAGGATAGAAAGTGTATTGACTTTTGAAATTTGGTCTTTGGAGAAGAATCCTGAGAATGTCATCATAGATAGGCTATGAAACAAAGAAAATGGATAATCAAAATCAACCTAAAAAGTTCTCTCTTGAAACACAAATGACCTAACTCACATTATCATCTTAAATACATTATGAAAATATCTCCATATGGTTACCAAGAGCTGACATCAATTTGATGGTATATAATCAATCAACATAACCTTGAAAGCCTCTCAAAGTTTTCTGCTACTTCCCTCTTACATTAAACAGAATCAAAGCAGGATTATCTTGAGCTTCTTTCTTGACACCCCCCCCCCTTCATTCCTTGGGCTAACTTGACCCTTAATAATTAATGCATTATTTCCTTAAGATCTTATTCTTCTATACTTCTCTAGAATATTAGGTGAAGAGAATTCCAGACTGAATTAAATAGACAACCAGAAATGGTGCTTCAGACCACAAAGACTTTGGTCTTAGAGGACTTCAAACATTCATGCTAAAGTTGCCTTGACAGTAGCCAAAGGTTTCATAGATTCAGTGACCATCCATGAGTCAAACTATATGGTCAAATATTGGAAAGATCACTGCCAAAGGAGGAAACCAATTCGAATGATCTTCTCTTATTTGAATTCCATGAGAGTTTGGTTTAGCAACCTAAATAGTCCCTTTCAATTCAGTAATTTTATGAGGACTTCTATCCAGCGTCTATTTCTGGTGCTGATTTTTAATAGTTTGTAACTCAGGCATAAAATGCAAATGGGAAGAACATACAAAATAACAAAGTTGACAGGGACATTGGAGGTCCTCTAGTCCAACCCCCTGTTCAAGCAGGAGACCCGATACCACTCCAGGCAAATGGCTATCCAGTCTCTTCTTAAAAACTTCCAGTGATGAACCATACACAATTTCTGGAGGCAAGCCATTCCACTGAACAACATATTTTACATAAAAATATAAATACTATGTATATGCAGGGAATATATTTAGATCTAACTATGAATTAAGGCTGTTTAGGCATAACAAATCATTGTATTGGTCGAGATAAAAAGCAGTATATTATAAAAGAAACAGATAAATTCTTACACTGCTCATTCTGTTATGAATTTCAGAAGTCTTTGTTAAAACAATTGAGTGCTGGACAGATTCTTCTGATTCAAGGTATAGTACTACTACAGCTGCTACCTGGAAGGAACTTCTAAAAATGAATGGAAGAGCCTTTGGCTTTTAATATAAGACTTCCATTTCTTTTAACTTTAACATGGATCGAGTGGGGGAATGAGGTAGTATAATATAGCATCAGACCTAATTCTAATTTTTTAAAAAAATCTGGATCAGGTGTGTTAAAACTTCCTAAAATCAATGACCTACTTTGTTATTAAAGCCCTCTTTGAGTTGAGAAGACGATAGCTGAAAGACTGTGCTTTAAAGCTAACTGTGCACCGCAGCAATCCAAGACCACAAGATATTCTCTCAGATGTGAAGCAAAAAAATACCTGAGAGGCTTCTCAATTAGTGACATGAAGTTTACAGAATTTTTCTCCATATAGTTAGTGGTACCAAATTTAACATTTTTCAACACATGCAAAACCTTTTCAATTATCAATCTTTAATAATTTCTGTTATTGCTACAAGTTCATTTGCTCCTTTATCTTCAAGATGTTCTCATAAGCTTGTTTTCATATTTGTTGTTCTATGTATAGGACTATAAAAAAGTTTTGTTATATTAATGAAAAAACAACAGCTCACAGAATAGATTCAATGGATCCTACCTTCCCTGAGCATAAGCTGAAATTTTAAAAATCCTGCAACTAAATATATCCATTGCCTCAATGCAATATCAATACTTCTAAATAGTAAAATATTATCAGCTTTCATACTCTCGTACCTTTTAATATGATAGACAGCCAAAATATTACTATAATTTAAAAAGAGGAAGCATTTTCAAGAAGTCTATTTAGATACTTAAAAATTGTTAACATCCTCAATGAAGTACCTTCTTCCACAATGAAAATGTAACATGGCATACTATAGAAATTTATTAGAATTGAGCAAAGGAATGTATCTTACCTCTGTTTGTATATTTATAACTGATCCAACTCCATTTTCAGTGCTTATATTACTGGAACTATTGTTTGGAGAACTAGGGCCAGATCCAGGAGCACTATTGCATGCAGATTCTAAAATATGTTAAAAATGTTTATTAATATCCTTAACAAGTATTAAATATTTGGGAGATCTATGGAAACTAGATTGTGTACTACCAGATCTCTATGTAGCTGCTGTGACTTCGTATGTATTAATAATCTTTTCTGAAACAGACTAATTCTCAGTCCTGGACCTCTGCTCAAAGAACCAGTAGGCAGCCATGGTAAGAAGTTCAACTTCATATTGTACACCAGTTACGCTCCTTCCTGAATAGGGAGGCCCTTCTCTTAGTCACTCGTGTTCTAATCAACTCTAACTTGGATTACAGAAAGTTGTCGATTTACAACTACAATTGGGATCAGAATTTTACTGCTAAGCAAGGTGATTGTTAAGTGAGTCATGCCTGATTTTATGACCTTTTTTGCCACAGTTGTTAAGCTAATCACTATAACGTGTTAAGTGAATCATGTTAAGTGAATCTGTCTTCCCCTATTTGCTTATCGAAACCAGATGGGAAGGTTCAAATGCTGATCACATGATCGTAGGACTTACAACCATCAAAATATATGCCATTTAGCAAGCACTTAAATTTTGATCATGTGATTGTGGGGATTCTGTGACAGCCATAAGTGCAAGAAACAATCCTAAATCACTTTTTTCAGTACCACTGTAACTCTGAACAGTCACTATACAAATGGTTGTAGGACTACTTGCATTGCATAAGGCTACCTTTGAAGAGTATCTGAAAGCTTTAGCTGATAGAGAATTTGGCTGTGTGACCAATTTTGCGTGCGCCCAAACCATTGAGTGTTGGCTTACTTCTGGTTCCAATTCAAGATATTGGTTATGACCTTTAAAGCCCTACATTACACATAGCCAGGTTACTGCGGAATCATCTTATTAATTCAGGCCATCGCATGCAGTTAGGTAGAGAAGATATAAAATGGATTCTGTCAGCTAAAGTATTTTGACTGGCAGAGTCCAGGAAGAGAGGCTTCTCTGCCATTGCTCCACCCCTTCTGAATATCCTCCCCCAGAGGTGAGGTGGGTTCCTCACTCTCCTGGCCTTTTGGAAGAGTTTGAAGACCTGGCTCTGCTGATTTGCATGGGTCTCACTAGAGAGTATGTAACCTTGGGGTTGGTTAGTGCTTTGAAAGCTCTCCCCTTTCCTTTTTAATTATTCTATCCTTGTTTTTAACTGCCTTTTATTGAAATCTGCTTTTATATAGTTTTTATGGTTTAATTGTAGATTATCCAGAGTTGTTCTGTGAGTAAGATGGGCAGTCTCTAAATTTGATGATAATAATAATAATAACAATGATAATAGCTTTACTTGGAACAACTTACATCCTGAGACGATACCTCTAACACCATCAAACATCAACATCTGCCTATCCCAGGTTCTGGGGAAGGACTCGAAAGGTGGATAAAAATGCCAAATCCAGTCTGAACATCTGGTTGACTGTGCAATGAACCATAATAATAATATATAAATAAAAATAAATCAACTGATTAAATGGAATATAATAGTACTCTTCAAAGGTATGAAGGAATGTCACACAGAAGGTATTTTGGCTGTTCTCTATAAGAGTACAGGGAATAGACTAACTGACTTTGCTCACAGGGAGACAAATCCTGGTTGAATGTTTAGAAACAATATCCTGACAGAAAACTTCTTCCTCAGTTTTAAAATTTAAAGAGCTGATTCCAAGGGAAGAGTTGATGACATTTTTTCACGGATGTATTCAATGCAATGATAAAGACACTTTAGATTCTTGCACTGATCAAGGAGTTTCATCTGAATGGCCCTTTCCATTTCTATGGTTCTATATAATACCATATGAATCACATTGTTACAACATCCCTGGCATGTGGCCATCCAAGTGACTATTTAACACTTCCAATGAAAGAGTCCATTGTCTTCTCTTGAGCAGCTTTTGCAGACATCATTTCTGATGCTATTAAAATTTATTTTCGTGTAACTTAAACTTACTGTTTTGTCTTCTGGAACAACACTGGACAGATCTATCCCATCTTCTACATCACAGCCCTGTTGATAGTTGAAGACAGCTATTCCCACAGTCTTGTCCAAACTAAAGATATGTAATGTCTCCAACTATCCCTCATAATTTTTTTCTTCCAAATTTCTTATTATCACTTTGGATGCTCCCCTGTGGACATCCTTCAGTTAGTCTATGTCTGTAGGAGCTGAGCAGGCTGAGTCCAAGGGCAGGGTTAAATGTGCCATCAGTTTGGGGTCGCTACATTCCCACAAGTGAATGATCTAGCACCAACTTGGCTTGACCAATAGTAGATCAGATTCTTGTATATAGGTAGCATTAATAAACTTTTAGTACTTTGAACTCAACTCCTCTTCTGGGTTACTTACCCTTGACAATGTCCTTTCTAAAATTTGTGCCACAATTGGATGCAGCATTCTAGCTACAGGTAGTCCTCGACTTACAACAGTTCATTTAGTGACCATTCCAAGTTATAACAGCAATGAAAAAAATGACATGACTATTTTTCACACTTACTTCAGTTGCGACATCCCCATGGTCATGTGATCCAAATTCAGACACTTGGCAACTGACTCATATTTATGACAGTTGCAGTGTCCCAGGGTCATGTGATCACTTTTTGAGATCTTCTGATGAGCAAAGTCAATGGGGAAGCCAGATTCACTTAATAACTGTGTTACTAATTTAATAACTGCAATGATTCACTTAACAATTGTGGCAAAAAAGATCATAACATGGGGCAAAACTCACTTAACAAATGTCTTGCTTAGCAACAAAAATTTTGGGCTCAATTGTGGTCGTAAGTTGAGGACTACCTGTATGGCATGACCAATGCAGAACAGAACAGCAAGAACTAATCTGAATTCTGGCACTAGATTTTTGTGATAAAGCCTAAGATTGCATTTGCTTTATTTGCTGCTCTATTACAATGCTGGCTCCTCTCAAGACACCTAGATTCATTTCACATTTATGCTTCCTAGTATTGTGCCTATACTGATGCTTTTGTGAAGGAATTTCTAGATGACTTCGGAACACAGGAGGAAAACCAGAACTACTGCATCTGCTCTTTTTCAGTCTTCTGTGATTTCTCAAAGATCATAGGGATCAAAAGTTCTGATACAACTTTTGCAAGCTTCTTCCTAGATATAGCTGTTCCCATCCTGAAGATTTAAACTTGTTCCTTGAAGGCAGATGTTCCTTAACTAATTATTCCCTTAACTTGTATACCCTTTCCCTTCTTGTGTTGATACCTTTAGGTCCATTTGAGAATGAAACTGAAAAAAATGGGAGCTGAAACGGTCTGTCCTCTGCCCATCACCTGCTATCATCTTATTATCTTTTCCAAGCAGCAGCTCTATCCTTTTTGATTAATATTATTTCTGGAACATTTGTAAGAAAAAATAAGATCACTGTAATTGTCTTAATCTTCATAATTACTTCCCAATCTATCTGATTGTCTTGAAATTATAATGTAGTAAAATGGTGCCATTCTAACTTACCTGTGACATCTAATGGGCGTTTTTTAAGAGCTGTAGCTACAGGACTATCTTTTCGTCTTAACAAAGGACTGCTGCGCCTTTCAGCAACCTTCTGCTTTAATCTAGATCGCAATTTGAGATTGGGTTCAGATGCTGAAATTGACAAAAGTGAAATTAAGTGCATTTCATTAAAATAGAATTTCTAGTAACAATGCCTCATTGACAGAAAATATACCTAAGAAAACATATTGTTATAAGTACAATATAACAGAAAAAATACATAAGAAATATGATTAATAGTATATTAACATATAGGTAAAGGGTAGCTGATCCAGAACAAGCACAAAAGGAAATAAATCCTATGCCTCTGGTACAATTTAAATGCAATAATAGTTTAAAATAATATTCATTCTATCCATTATTTTTAAATCCACCCTGCATAATATTTAGTTTATTCGAAGACAGTTAAATCCAAAACAGCAAAAGAAATAAAACAACAAACAAAACAAAGTGTCTTAGAAAAAGAGACTGATTCAAACTTGACACATCTCTGACTTAGTGCCTTGGATAACAATCTATAGCTGACTGTGTATACAATCCACCTGCTACAGTTGATATTGAAGAGTATAGCTAAAGACCAAGACCTGAAATAATCTATACTAGTGTAACTTAGGTGTTAAGTGCTGCTCTACAATTTAAACTATCCATTTAAGTAGGAGGAGAACCTGCATCTACAACTGTAATCATAGTCATCTTGGAACTGTATCCTAGTCTGAATTCCAGCTGAAAGGATCCAAACTTCCTAGACTCTCTGGAGCTAAAAACCACCCACCATCTCAATAACTTTTCCTAAAAAGGGAAGGTTGCAAGCCAGATAAAAATTATTCAGTACCATTCAGTATATCTTTGCACAAGAGAGTAAGATATTTAAAAAATATTATCTTAAATTTAAATTAAACATGAAAACGTCATTCTTTCAATTCCTTGAATTCATGGCTTTGTAAACCAAACCCACTACTTTCTACCCACTAAATTGGGAAGAAAAACTAAATGGGAAAGAATATTATGGTTTAATTTAATATCATTGTTCGTGATGCCTAATTTCAGCTATTTCTCTCACTGCCGTATTTTGTACTAATGGAGCTCTTCAGACCATCTTCAATGGCAATCTCATATGCAACGTATAACGGATTACTGAAATGAGATTCTCTCCAAGTCGCCAATGCTCCAGCTAAATGCCTACCTCTAATGATAATACTGTTTTTAAAGCATTCTATGCTTTAGAGCTCTCTATTTTGGAACAGAATGAATGGCATTCATTTGATGTTTAGTTTATTAGTTCATATGCAGCTAATTACTGCAACCAGGCACTAATAAAATACTTCTGCATACTGATTAGACTTTTACATAAAATGACTCAAATAAGCTTACCTAGTTATATTATGCACTACATTTAATATCAAAATGTTGAACTGAAATATCTTAACATCACCTCTTAGAAAAAGATGTCTAAGTATGACTGGACCTCGTAGAAATATGTATTATTATAACTAAGTTCGCAAAAGGAAAGCTAGACTGATAGTCTTAAAAGAAGCCCAGTAAAATCAACAGTGTCTCTTTCTTAGAAAAGTTCGTCCCACTTTTCCAGTGTTAAAATCAGGCTTGAACTACAATTGAACTTCATCTACAAAATGATTTCCTTACAAGAATGTATGGCACTGATCAGCTCCCTATACCAATCACAAGGAAAGTAAATAGGAAAGCCGGCAGGATTTCAAATGATGGGAGGGGAGGGGAGAGAAGGGTCAAAGAGAAAGGAGGGAATAAAGAGGAGGGAGGGAGAAAAGGAAGGAAGGTTTCCAATTCTCACTGCCTGCTTCTCAATGGGGAAGCCAACAGGAAGTCAGAAGTCTTTGCCCACCCATGGTCATTCTATTTCTCTATCAGATACTGAAATATCTCTGAAATGATGTCCCAACAGATCACAGGTTGTCTAGCTATTTAAAATAAAAGTTTTATATGTGAACTGTGAAAAATAAGATTTACCTGTTTTTCTGAGTGGAAAATCATCTTTGGAATCATACATTCCTAATACAGGGTGATTGTAAGCGCCTGACATTCCGCTCTGTGGTGGAGAGCTCTGATCAAGAGAACTATGTTGTGTTTTCCTAAAAAAATAAAATGTTATTATACAGGTTAAGAATAATATATAATATAATAATAGATATTGGATATTGGCTTTGATCTTTAAAGCCTGAAAGAGCTTGTGCCTATATTTCTGTTTCTAAATCAGCTTTTCTGACATCTCAAGGAGTATGCATCCAAGTGACATAATAGAAGCATTACAATATATAAATTACAACATGAATGTCAAAACATAGTAATATCTTGAACTTTTTTCAACTTCCAGTGAAAAATTATGATGAACTGGACATCCTGCTGACATTGAGACTGCATTTACAAGGAAAATCATAGCTGGATGTTGGATCTGGACTGCCAAAATCTCTTTGGAGGAAGGAGAGATGGTTGACATAAAACATATGAGAAGTCAAGGATTTGGCTTATTTGATAAGGTTAAAATAGAAAATTTGCTATATGGTTTCTTTTACTGGACTTTTTCACTATAAAAACAAATGACAAGAGCATTTTGATTTTGGTTTTTAGTCAAATGATAAGTTATGGGGTAAAAAGAGTTTGTTATATTTAGAGATAGTGATGTTTTAAAATTGTTGCTACCTACTGGGATGAAGGGGGAAGTTATCCTCATTTTTTGTTTTTTTCTCTTTTTTATATTTTCCTTTTTATAATTTTATTTTTGCATTTTTTAGTCTGTATTACAAATACTTTTATTTTTTCTATTTGTAATTATTTGAAAAAAAAAAACACATAACCACATCTTAATAATACAATTCCACCTTATACTCATCAACCGAAAACGATATGCAATGTTGAAACAGTGCCACTATTGATTTCAGGCATCCAGTCTTCATTTCACAGTCGAAATGTTCTTTAGAAGATATTGATAATTTCCTAAATATCAACTAAATTCCAGCAACCTGGAATTAAGGAGAAACTTCCTAACAGTGAGGAAGGAGAACAGTGGAACAGCTTGCCTTCAGAAATTGTGGGTGTTCTATCACTGCATGTTTTTAAGAAGAATCTAGACGGTCGCTTATCTGAAATAGTATAGGTTCTGCTGATTGAACATGAGACTAGACTAAAAGACCTCCAAGGTCCCTTCTAGCTTATTCATTCTATTCTAACATGCAATGCTTGTATCTGGTGGTAGTCTCCCATAAGAGGAGAAACCCTAAAGGAAGTGCCCTTCTTCATATACCATCCTCCGACACCTCATGTAGCAGATATTTTCTGCCTTGAATGGGCAGATTTTGTAACTTACCAGGTCCAAAGCCTTGAAAGACTGTAAAGGTAGTAAACCTGATAACCAGCAACTTGTACAACAAAGCCATGTTTGGGATACTGGAGTTATATGACTATATGAGGTAGTTTTTAATGGGCAATGAATAAGCAGCTATATTTTGCACCAGTTGTTGTTTGTGGGTGATCTTCAAGGGCAGCCCAAACATAAAATGACTGTGGCCCCTTCTTCCCACGTTTTGTTGTTTCCTTCAATATAACAATAGCAACAGCACTTCTGGTGGAAGATAGTCCCTTGCTTGTAGCTTTTCTTTTGGTCTGCTACAGATTTCTCCAGACTTTTATACTTACAATGCTTTCTACGTCAGAAGAAACTTCCCTGGGAAAGGGGAAGCTCTGCAAATCAACCCTCTTGCTTCCCTGATAGCTGGACTTTCTCAGAGTGTTTTTGAAAAAGAACAGGTAATTGGGTGACTCTCTGGCTGGGGCAGGGCAAGCAAGAAGCAAGTTCTTTGTGGAAGAACCACCTTTTAAAATGGACAATAAGGTGTGCCACCGTTTCTTAGACACTAATTTTTTACATATTTATCTTTTATGTTAATAGAGGCATCCTCCGGCTGCAGCCTGCTTTTTCCTTTTTCTTGAAACATCGTCATTTATGAAGCTCTGTGACTTTAAGATGGCCTTGCGGGGTGGGGGGGTGGGGGGAAGAGAGTTGGTGTATCTCAGCCAAAATAAAGAAGCTGGAAATTGCTGTGGAAACTACATTTGAAACTTTTGGACTTAAATTTTCTAGAGGATTTTGTATCTTTAATTGATTCTGCTGATTTTTTTAAAAAAACAAGGATTATTTAAATGGTGTTTTGATCTTGCTGTGAGGAGGGAAAGAAATAGTTCTGATTTTACTTGTTTTTGATTGGACCAGTTGTGTGGGCTGTTAAACAACAGGCAAAAATCAAGTTCTTTTTCAGAGTAGTGTTGTTTGACCACAAGAGGGACCCAAAAGACTGTAGTATTGCCAATTCTTTTAAATTCTCCAGTAGCATCATTTAATCCAGTGGTTCTTAACCTTTTTGAAAGAATCGCTCCCTTGAGCCATCAAGGAAGTTATCATCGCCCACCTCCCCCAACATAACCTCTCAATCACAACACAGGGAAATAATTCTTCAATTTATGCAAACACGTTTTTTTGCTTTCTTTAAAATTGTCATCAGGACATATCGATGCAAATAATTTATTTCCAGTCTTTTCCCCATATCTGAACTGTGTGAAAAATTCTGATGCCATCCATCACTTTACTCCCAAACTTCATGATACAAGTATTTCATTATTATCTTGTTTATTCAAGACACTTAAATGCAATGACCACTGAAAACAAAATTCAATTACAAGAAAATGAAATGCCCGAAAAAAGGTAACATTTAATGATTTAATTACAAATTAATTTTAAGATGCAAAAAGACATATAAAAAGGGCGTAAGAACAAACTGTAATGCAGGAACTAAGAATTTCAAGATGAAAACTCTGAAACTAAATTAAGATTCGAGGAAAATATATATTCATGCACACTGTAAAAAGGCTTAAAAAGACACAAATAAAATTTTTACGGAACATTTTAAAACACAGTTCAATCCGCTAATAGCGAGCAATCTGATGTTTTTGTATGACAGATATACAGCTGTTCACTGAATGAAAAATGTCTCAAAAGTGTCCCCAAAACTTATCACTCCATCTCCCCCATATCACCCCCTTCCGTTCCTTTGCCCCTGCATCGCCCCTTTCCGTTCCATCGCCTCCCTGAAAAACGAAATCGCTCCCTGGGGGGTGATATTGCCCAGGTTAAGGACCACTGATTTAAGCCACTGGATTTTATGTTATAAATCTACAAGTCTAAAACTCTTAACTTTAAAATCTAAGCTTTAGCTATACTCTAATGGGATGGTTATGCAGAAGAGGATGCAGAAAATGAAAAGAACATCAGGAAATACAGAATTTTAAGATCCTTTTTGGATGAATATACGCTTAAACATATGAACTAATTCAGGAAATGGGAACAAAGCTTGAATCTACTTTCAAAGGAACTCTGTGAGGAGATCCAACATTTGACTGGAGATATCTAACAAGTGAAGGATAGACAGGATCTTATGGAGCACAAACTGGAGAAGAAAGATATTTTGTATGAAGCTGACTTGGACGAAAGAGATATTTTGGAATCTCAGATTAAATAGCTCCAATTAAGGTTTCAAGCAATTCCTGAGCTTCCGGTTTGAGCTTCTTTGGTGACAGACGAAATATGTGATCGTGCACAGTTTAGATCTGTGCTCGCCACTGGAGTGCCCCGAGCTGGCTGGTTTCGGGGCTAAGCCACCCCGTAAAGGTGGTGAAGAGGGGCGAGACTGCCAGCAGGGTCGAGGAGAGGCGCATCTCCATTACTCTCTTTCCCAAAGGCGGTTGCAGCGGTGGTCAGAAATGGCCACTTCAAAGAAGAACTTGACCGGAAAAGAATGTGCAGGAGGAAGATAAGAAGAGAAAGTTTTGGCTGACTGGGTCAAACTGAAAAAGCAACAATATAAGGTACCCTGGAATTTGGATTATAAAGAACATTGTTCCCAAAGAAGACTTTGAAGTGGCGAATGAGAGAGGGAAAGAGAAAGGATTTGGGTTTTTTTTTCTTTTCTTCCCTATATTGACAACTAAGAGATTTAAGCAAGAAACTGGCAAAAATCCACTTGGACATTAACAGGTATTTAAGCTGAAAATAAAATGTCAAAGGGATAATAAAGGTTTCTGGATTTGAAGGAAAAAAACAAAAGAGTGGGATCTTGAAAAATGGAGACCACCTGGAAGTGAAAGGAATTAACAGTGAAACTTTAACAAGGTTCCTAAAAGATACATTTTAACTGAAACTTTGTAACAAGATAAGAGAACCCGGGGAAGAGAAAGTGGAAAAAAGAAGCAAGAAGAAACAGTTTTGGATTATTTGGATTACTTGGTGATTTTTGGCTATTGGATCTAAAGGACTAAAATTAATCGGGTGTTGTTTAAAAGTTTTTTAAAATGGTATCACTCTTGGAAGAATTGAGAATGGAACTTAAAAAACAGAAAGAAGATGCAC